CACCTCTTAATCCGACAAGCTCATGAAACAACGCTACATGGAGGAGCACAGCTGACGCTGCATACACTTCGTCGCCGTTTTTGGATTTTAAACGCAAGACAAGCTGTCAAGTCCTTTGTACACCACTGCGTCGTATGTCGACGTCACCGAGGGGTGCTCCTCAAGCAGCAAATGGCTTCGTTACCCGGGCAGCGAGTTAAACCTGCAAGACCATTTGTATCCGCTGGGGTGGATTATTGTGGCCCTTTCACTCTACGTGTTGGCACAAAACGCTCTCGCACTCTCGTGAAGACATACTTGGCTATTTTTGTATGCATGGCGACTAGAGCCGTTCACATCGAGGTGGTGGATGATCTGTCTGCGCAAGCCTTCCTCGGCGCTTTTACACGCTTTACCAGTCGGCGGGGTCCTTGCCGCGACTTATACAGCGATAACGGCACGGCATTTGTGGGTGCGAATCGACTGCTCCAGGAAGACGTGGCGGCATGGAACAATGAGAACAATCAACGATCGTTAGCGAGCATGGGCACCCAGCGGCATTTCATCACTCCTAGTGCACCACACCAGGGTGGTCTCTGGAAGGCTGCGGTTAAATCTGCCAAGCATCATCTGGTCCGCTGTGTTGGTTCTCAGACTATGTGGTACACCCAATTGCAGACCCTGGCCGCGCGTATAGAAGCGTGTCTCAATTCTCGTCCGATCACTCCACTGTACGATGACCCAGACGAGAAGTTTGCATTGACACCAGGGGACTTTCTCATCGGAGCACCGCTTTTAGCTGTGCCGGAGCCAGACATACGCGAGATTCCCACCAATCGCTTGAAGCAGTGGCAGTGGGTACGACAAGTCCACCAGGAGTTTTGGCAGCGTTGNCCAGTGGCAGTGGGTACGACAAGTCCACCAGCAGTTTTGGCAGCGTTGGAGCTCCGAGTATTTGATCACGCTCCAGAGGCGCAATAAGTGGCAGCGACGCGTCCGGATATCCGAGTCAACGATGTGGTGTTGGTGCGGCATGAGAATCTACCACCAACCCAGTGGCGTCTTAGTCGTGTGGTGGCAGTGCATCACGGAGACGACGGAGCCGTCCGAAATGTCACTTTGAAGACTGCGAGTGGATGCATCACCCGAGCTGTTCAAAAGCTATGCTGCCTGCTTGAACAAGATGATTTCGAGTCAGCCGACTCGACCGGGCAGGATGTTTAGAGTTAAGTGTGAACTCATTGTCATGTTTTCTTAACTATCAAACTTGTACTCTATGGCTACCCTAGTTTATCGATAACTATGTATCTACTTTGACATTTCTATTGTTTGCCAAGAATCCATTTGCATTAGTACGGTTTTTTTGTAATATTCATTTTGCTATATAAGCGCGAAACCATCTTGTATACGGTCTATTTTGCGACAATATCTGCAGCAATAAACGTGCGATTTCTAGAGGACATCGTTGGAGTCTTTTATTTAACAAGTCGTGAATACACCAATGTGTCAGATCGGGGAGGGATATAGCATAGAGCTAAGTAATTAGACCCTTTTCCAGCCTGTACACGAATGCATTTGAATTCTACTGAATCAATGTAAGGAAAACTAACTTCTTCAGATGGTATTGAAGAGTCTACAGCGAAGAGTACGCCATCGCCGATTCTGTCCTCCCTATCTTGCCTATAGATATGATAATTATTTGGAAGAATCTCTGAATTGAAAATGTGAGGTTTATTTCCTTTCTTGGGCCTATATCCGAATTTACGAACGAAAGCTCCGGGGGGCCAAAAAGAACTACTAAGCAGCGCACTAAAACTATCTAAATTTACGTCAATTTTAAATGAAGCAATATTTCTTTCGTATTTAAAATTAAATTTTCCGATGCTTAAGTCGACAGTTGTAATTTTTTATGAGATATAAAGCTTTATATCGTCTTCGGTAGTGTCTCTCGAAAATCTAGGGGCAAAGATTGACTTCTTTGGCGGAACCACAACTAGTTTCCTTGTATGCTGGAGGACATGGAGAAGATAGATTAATTAAGTCAGTCGGAAGATTATTCTGATGTGCAACGGCAATAATTTCCTTAGATGGACTATGAAGACGCTTATGTTTAGACACACGGATATCCTTAACAGATTGCAAGGTATCTAAGCATTTGAATGATTTAAACACATTTTAATAATGCTTTAATTTTTCTGTCAGTACTGACAATTCTCTTCCTATTTCTGTAAAACCATTTCTGGTTTGCGTAAATAACTTGAAAAGATCTACTTCGGTTGACCTGCACTTTACGTAAGACCAGCGAAGGCCCTTGCCATCAATAATAGCGTTCAGAATTCTTCCCGTCAAACCAGCACATTTCAGATGGTAAATACCATCACAAAGCCAGCACGATAAGTACCGTTCAGAATCGATTTTAATTTGGCAAGTATTAAGATCGCACTTCATATTGAAAGATTTATGTAATAACACTTGTTAATAAAAAAACAAACAAAATAAATTATAACAATTAAAGAGCTGATGTAAATAGCTTAAATAGCTTTAAATAAATGTAGCGAACAGTTTGAGTATCACTGTAATTATGACACTTAAGAAACGCAACGCAAACAGCTGTGACAAGAATTACTACAAGAAGTAAACCAAAAGAATAGAACAAATGTGCAAAAACAAAACGAGTTCAGTTAACTACAAAAGATACAACAACAATGATAGCAACAAATGACTCGGCAAGATTAGAATGTATGCTAGTGAAATTCAATTAAATTTAGTTTAATATAAAACACAATAACTTTCACTTAGCTGCAATTTTTTCACACTAAGATACTCATAGGCACTTTTTATCACTACTTTAACTCAGAATTAGCACAATTAACTAGCAAATAGAAAGCCAAAATCAGAGCACAATATAAGTACAACCTCACAGCTTGACGTTTGCAAAGAATGCATAAGAATAATAATAAAATGACCCTAGTTCACTTCTTAAACTTCTTTTTAATGCCCAAGTAATGGGAATTATTTCGTATGGTGTTATTGCATGTACCCCATGGTGGAATTATACAAGGTGAAGTAATATTAGAGTGAGAAGAAAGATTTTGACACTGCCTTATTTGAAAATTTGACTATAAAATGTGACTATAAGACAGCCGAATGTCAGAAAATATAGCGAGAAAGCTGTTTTATTATTTCACCTGTTTATTGCGCTATTCATCCCACTCAGAGTACGAAAACAAACCAAACGTATCACTACCCATTGCCACAACAAGTACGATAGCTTTGTGTTACTTTTCTTATAATATTCCCGAGCGCTAACAATACACGATATATTTCAACGGCAGTCGAGCACAAACCAAACGAATCGTTTGTTCTTTTGCTCGTTTGGTTTCGATTCTGGTAAAGGTACTCATCCTGAGCAAAACCGAAACAAAACACGATACACAAAACAAAAGGAATCATTCCTTTAGTCCTCAGCAAATTAATGTTGCCTATGCAGTTAGCAGAATGGTTCAGCTGCTTCAGTAGATTTCTGAGCATTCTGTGTGTCTTGCAAAATGCCACGTCCTCTGATATGCACAGTATGTACATACAAATATTTGTATGTATGTATACTAGGGGATCAATAAACGAATCGTTTCGTTTTGTGTTGTGAGGACTAACTTCTATTTCGGTTGTGTTTCGTTACCTTCTATGCGCGCAACTAAACGATACCGATACGTGTGCTATTGTCTGTTTTCGTTCTCTGACCCCACTTGCTTGTACCGAGTATACGTTCAAATTTAAAAGGCTGACATCCTTATTGCAGGTTGCTTTGCAACCACAGTTGCCAACTTGGTGCTTTAAGCACTAGATTTAGTGCTTTTTGAAAATTAAAACGCCAAAAAAATGGTTTAGTGCCTAGTGCCCTTTTCAGTGCTTTTTTCTGCACTAAAATTTCTGAATTTACAAGAATCTACAAATTTAAATGCACTAAAATGCAAACCATGATTGATAAAAAGATGAAGTTGCAAACCCACGTTCTTGCGTTCTTGTTAAGTTGTATTCGCGTTGAAAATGCTAGCACGCAGATAAGTTAAGTGTTTATTTTTTTATTTTCTTGATTATTGATTGATTACACAGTGAAAAATGTTAACTTTTTTTGCCACCTGAGTTCATCGGTTATTAGATTTTTCGGTGCTGAATCCAGAATCCAGGTGCAGAATTTCTCTACCACGTCAGAATTTTGAGATATCCTAACCTCTAAGTGTAAATACACGGTTTATTATATAACAACATTTCGTTCATTTCTACTTAAGATATCATTAAGTATTACTCTTCCCCTTCAAAATTCAGTTTCGTTTGTTGTGATTCGATTGTTCTTTCTCCAGATGTACCCGTTTTAATGTGCAGTACTGTGGTATTACTTCGTAAGCATGAATGTGTATTTATTTATACATGTAAATATTGTTTATTTTTTTACTTTTGTTTACCACAAACTGTTATAAAAGAAAGTATCCTTTGATTAAAAAAAAATTTTGTGCTTTTAGTGCGGTAAAACGCTCTTTTTTCCAAGGTCTGGTGCTCGGGTGGGCTTTAGTAGTCAGCCGCACCTTGTGTTTTAAGAAAACCAGGTGGAATTAACAAATGAAACTTGGTCAGGATGTTAAGGGAGGTATCCTCTAAAACATGTATAACTAAAAAATATAAATAATATCATTGTTTATAAGTTATTTGTTGTTAAAATTTCTTAAGT